GCGAACATGATCTTGGGCCCACAACGACCGCATCACCTCCCTTGCAGGCCTTAAGCGATTGTCCTGAAAATTTCCCATGCAGAGCAGTTGGAGTGGCTTGTGCATGTCTCACGGACTATGCAAACTGTTGAATCGGTTGTCAGGCTGCTTCTTCTCTACCGCAGACATGCGACTGGTGTAGCAGAAATAGAAAGGGAATGCGTAATGCAGCAAGGCTAGATCTTCACCGAAGAACTGGGTCACAGAGCCCCATACTGCAATGACAGCATGCTGCTGGCTGCACAGCTGGCCAGGGCAATTGTTGCTACAAGAATTCGTCGGTTTCGGGCTTGAATCTTTTCCCACTGTGTCCTCAGACATGCGGGGTTTCAGCGCCCATGACCTTACAGATCTTTTCGATCCGCAAACTCAAAACGCTCCACGTGCCTGCAGCAAGGTCTCCAAGAACTCCTTTGTTTTCGCAAGCTGCTCCTCCTGCTGTTCCGGCAAGGGAACCCGCGAAGTGTTGCTTTGCCCTTGAGGCCTCTCCTAACGGGGAGTCGAGACTTCTTTCTCCTGCAGCACCGGTTCAGCCCCAAGCCAACCAACCGCCTGGCGAACTGCAACCGAAAAACCCTCGTCAACCCACGCAAAAAAATAGCATGCCCCTTCAACCGGGAGGCCATGTATAGGAGCGGTTCTTGCCCCTACGGCCCTATGACTTACCTTTGGTTAGTAGGGAATGGAAGAATGGTAGTAATAGTAGTTATAATTGTACCCCATTCCTCCATTCCCTACTAACCAAAGGTAAGATGATGACCCAGAGTATGATAGTCACTGCAACTGGACTTGCCCTCGGACTCGGACCTGCAGCGAGGCTATAGCCTGGCCAGGCACCGCGACGCGCGCGCACGCGCGCGCGAGTCTCGAGCGCGGCTGTGACTGCCCGGCCTGGTTTCGTTTCAGATACTCCTCAAGGAACTGCGAGACCGGATGCTCCTGACACCAGCAGGATTCGCACGGTTTTCGGCAGCTGAACACCCGACAGCATCTTTACCGAGAGAGCCCTGCAACTTTCCCATCTCGCGAAAGTGGCTTCCTCCGGATTCTGCTCCTTGGTCGCGGCCAGGTTCCCCTGAACGGACACCTGGGGCAAATCCAAGCCAGGACTGAGGAACGTGGGCCTTTTTCGGCTTTTGGGCACAGGGTTAAGGCAAGTACGTAATGTGTTGCTTCAGGCTTTCAACAGGCTTGGCCCGCGAATCACAATCATGGAACATGGAGCTCTCGAATGCAGGAAGCAGCTGCAACCCTGCGCCGGGAGCCCAGCCCGTGTACCACTCACACTAGCGATCATGGCCAGCGCGACCAGCCGAGTCACCTTACACCGGATTCCCAGATTTTGATTACATCTTACATCCTGGAGATCGGCTTGGGATGAGGGGTTCAGGGTTTAGGGCCAGTTTAGGGCATCGAGCTACCTTATGTATACCAGATTTTGATTACACCTGATTTCCTGTAGAGGCTGCAGCCCAGGCGTCATTCCGTCCTGGAGCGGACACCCTAAGTCACATGGTGCTATAAAGCGACATTTCCAACCGAAGATTCAAGACTGAAGCATCCACGAACTACACCGGAAAACTCAGCCCGTGGCCAGCATCACGTAGTTGAAGTTTGGAGTTGACAAACTTACACAAACTTGCAATTGGAGCCCAAAGCTGGCAGACAACGGATACGCATGCCGCCAACACTTCACGGCCGCCGGGCATTCAAGGCTTAGGGTTGAGGCCCCGAAAGGATCGTTTTACTTTGTCGGGTCCCTGGGGCCTCTTCTTCCCGTGACTTCGATGCCGGGACTGGCACATTCTTTTTCCCGCGAGGCTTTTCTGAGTACCCGGAAAAAATCAAATCGCACTTAATAAAAACCCAAAGGAGCCAGGGATTCACGGATGGTGTTAAGGAAACTTCGAAGCAACCGCCGACAGCGACTTAAGAGGACGACTTGTGCGGGTTGGAAAACCTTGCGGTTACAGTTTATAATATAGAGTAGGCTTGCGGTTACAGATTTCCAACCTGGGGCGCCTGGGTCAAGCTCTGGCTCTACTCAGATAGGCTCCGCCCATGAATGCGCAGTGCCGTGGCCGCGACCGAGTTCCTGGGCCAATAAACCTGGGAGCACGTAAGGTGGAGGGAATGAGGTCAAGGGAGAGTCAGGAAAGGTGTTCAAGATCGGTTCGAAGGACTGTGCGTTGGCGAACTCTGTTCCTGTGCAGCTCAGCCTCCCGGGCTAAATCCCAGCTCGAGCCCCTGCTGCTTTATGTCGCTGCAACTTGGGGCTCCCGGCATGCCGAGTCCGTTTCTGCCCTAACGCCAGCGGTGACCCCAACGGCTCTTTACAATTCACTTCCAACTCCAGGATCCTACCAGTTAAGCTCCAGAGAAACGCACCCGTGTCCAAAGCACTTGAGGCCCCCAGTGCCGAGAACCCAGCTCGGCTGCCATCCGCAAAAGCCTGCGCGGCCAAGCCAAACCAGCCCGCCCACCTTGGGTTCAGGGGTTTACATTGCCCGATTTTGTCGCGTTTGCGGCTCGACATCAAGAGAACGCATGGGGGCTACAAGATTGACGAGGGGCTGGGCTGAGGCATTCTCGGCATCAATGAACGTGTGCCTCCGACAAGGCCAGAATTCCAGACGATCCCCCAGGTGACCCGGACTCGGAAGCCGTCACGGCGCAGACCGACATGCGCTGCACTTTAGGGATTTTTATTGGGTTTGGGGTTCAGGGTTACAAGGCAATTTACCTTCTGTGGTGCCTTCTTGTTTCTCACATGGCCTCGTCCTCCCCCAAATTCTAAACCTCAGCCCCCTACCTTTATAAGCCCACGTCAACCCACATGCACATCCTAAAGCCCAAATACCCTAAATCCTAAGCCGCAAGCATTCATGAGAGGGGACTCTCGACACCGCTTCAAAAAAGGAACATCCCTGTGCCATAAAGCCATCGGAAGTTTGTGTAATTTCGGTGCGCATCGGAGTCTCTAATGTAGGAAGTCGGAACCGGAAAGAACCGGAACACCGATTCATAAGAGTCCTGAATATGCACAACTTTGAACCGCGCGCTCGCCATAGCGGAAAGCCTCCATGCGACGACGGTCGCTGGTAAGCATGTGCCTGACGGGCTTGTGGTTGTGAGGAGGGTTGGGGATTTAGGCTAAAGGGTTCAGGGTTGAGGGTTAATATACGGGCCTAATAATTAGAACGGGGTTCTGGGGTATATTATACTACAGCCATAGTAAGGAACCCCCCAAAATAGTATTGGTTATTATTTGGGCCCCGATGGTAGGGTCGAGGGTTAACGAGTTGTCAGTGTCATTGGAGGCCAGAAGGGGCTCGCAAGACAGCTTCCCCAATGCGAGCCCCACTTCGGGTGCCCTGACGCGCACCAAAACCTATCGTTCAATTTGTTAGATTTAGAGACAGGTCTTGCAGAGGGGGGATACGCAGGCGGCCACCAAAAACAACTGGGCAATCCTGGCAAAGCTATTACTATAGCACAAAGAAACAGACACAACACACCAACCCGAAAAAAAGTCTGGAGAACCCTAAACCATGCGACCCTTAAAATCCTTATAAAGCCCTGCCTTGAATCCGAATTGAATCGCAAGCCCCATCCGAACGCTCCTGAAGACTCCAAAACCATGTCCCAAAAAAGCCCCATACCCCTGCGTTGCGGAATAGACCTGATCTCAATCATAATACCTTTCGAGGTCGGGTGCATTCCTTAATCAAGGGATACTGCAGTGTTCAAGCCTCCAATGCCACCACCTGGTGAGCTCCCGACCCGGCGAAAAAACACGGAGCCCTGAATGTAACGCCAACAAACAGCCTCGCTACCCGAAGCACGCGTACTCTTCCCCGAAACCTCCAGGACTCGCAACAACGACGCCTTTTTGCACGTCACCACCCCAAACCCTGAATCCTAAACCCGGCACCGTAAAACCCTTAACCCCTACACTCCAAACCGCTCACCCTGAACCCCAAAACCCTCTCTCCCTCTCCCTCCTGGATCTGGCTCTGGTGCAAGCCTCTCGAGGGCTCAACCTCCAACACCACAACTACAACTTTAACATAGGGTCTTCAAAATGAGAATTGGTTCCTTAGAGTAAAAGGTTCTGTAAAGGCGGTGGAGATGAGATTTTTTTGGGACATTCGAGGAAAAGGGCTCTTAGGGTTTGGGGTGTAAGGCTGTAACGGTACAGCGTCTCACAATATTAATACACAAAAACAACAGCAATTCGTTGAAATAGCAATAACAATGACAGACACGAAACTATACTACAAGAACAAGTAGCAATCATCTATAACAGTATTCATAGTAGCACACATGATGGTTCTAAATACATCCACTCAGCGTGCGCCCGGCCTCAAAAGTGTTTGTTGCGTTTGCCCCCGGCCTCACAGAGGTTTAGGGTTGAGGTTTCAGGCTTCAGGGTTCAGGTGCAAATGGTTCAAGGCTTAAGGTTCAGAGGTCTAGGGCTGTAAGGCTCAGGGTCACGGGTTCAGTGAGTTGAAATGAAAGTTACACAACAAACTTTTTCCCCATAAATTCGCTTTGAGGTTCAGGGAGTTTAGGGGTTCCCTCCCTGACCTCGAGGATGGTCTTCAGAGCCTCTTGATGATTCGCTCTGGCAGCTTTGTCGGCCGGCGTGTCTCCCCACTGGTCCTTGGTGTTGAGGTCGACACCGGCCTGAGCAGAGCGGCGCCACCCCCACCCCCCACACACCAGCTATCAAAACTCGGGTCATGAGAGGTCGAGGAGCGCACGGCCCCTTCCCCGCACCACGCCTTGATGAGGACGTGCAGCGCGGCCACGAGGCCGCGGAAAGCGGCTCTGTGGGCCGGAGTCAGTCCATCTTTGTTCGCCGTCTCTAGGTCGGCTCCAGCCTCGCTTAGTTTGGGAACCCTTCTTTGCCGTCTCCCAAGCCCTCAAAAAGGACCCTGCAAAAAAGCCCCCTCAGCCTCGGCCAGAGCTTCCAGCACCTCTGGATGGTCTCTCTCGGCAGCGTTGTGGGCCGGCGTGTCTCCCCACTTGTCCTTGGCGTTGAGGTCGACACCGGCCTGAGCGGGGCTGGCGCCGCACAAACATGAGCCGAGCATAGCATCCCGGAACGGAGATGAGAGGTCGAGGAGCACACCCCCTTTCCCGGGCCCCGCCTGGATGAGGACACGCAGCGCGGCCACGTTGTCGTCTCTTGCGGCATAGTGGGCCGGAGTGTCTCCATCTGGGGTGGGCGTCTCTAGGTCGGCTCCAGCCTCGCTCAGCCAGGGAACCCCCTCTTTTCCGTCTCCCAACCCAAAAGGGACCCTCCAAAAAAGCCCCTTCAGCCCCCTCAGCCTCGGCCAGAGCTTCCAGCACCTTTGCGGTCGCTGTCTTGTTCCAACTCCGGGCTGCGATGAGGGCCGGTGTCATTCCAGCACGGGTCTTGGCGTTGAGGTCGACGCCGGCCTGGGCAGGGCGGTGCGGTGGGTCATGAGCGGTGGAGCCTTAAACTCCCTCAAGCCTCGTGGAGGAACTTCAGCACCGCCACGTGGCCGAATTCCGCGGCAATTTGCGCTGCGGTCCATCCCGTGTAGGAGCCGCGCCCCCCAATTTTTGCACTCAAATCGGAACCAGCCTCGGCAGGGAACTCCCATACTTGGCGCTCTCACTTTGCCCCACTGCACTATATGTGGAAGTTCTCCAAACACAGCAAGGCCGCACGGCCCTGCCGAAAAAAACACCACTCGCCTTATACTGCGAAAGCAACCGAGCCTGGAAGTGCTGCTTGAGAGACGCCACGTCGCCTAGAATGGCGTCTTCCAAAGAAATGGCTGGAGGCTGCCCCCTCGTGCTGGTGGTGGTGGTAGGCACGCTCGTCTCCGCGAGGGGTTCCTTTGTCGCGTCCTGTTGATTCATGGTGCTTTTGGTTCCAGACATGGTTCTGACCTAAGAAGGCTTTGTGGCGGCATCTCCCGCTGAGTGAGGGCTGATGTAGATGCGTGTTGGATCTACTCTTTCAGGGGACGTTAGTTCCACCACACAGGCTGTCGAAATATGATCTTGGGCCCACAACGACCCCATCACGCTTTTGCGGGTCTTCGGAAGGTCTGTTGGAGTCTAGTGGTAGAAAACATGTGAGCGGGTTCTCCTGCAAACTTCCAAGCGGCGAGCCGTCACGGAACCGCCAAAACCAGAATGGATCCGTTGAAGTGGTCTTCACATGTCTTAAACTCAAAAACCATGAGAAGCCTGTTCGGATCCCACACGTTTGGCGGCTCGGGTGAGGAGAGGAATTCAGCTGAAGCTTCCAGACTCAAGCAACTGACCACCCCCCGCCCATGCAATAACGTGTTGGGCGTGATGCAGCAAGACCGAATCTTCTCCGCAGAACTGGGCCACAAAGTTCCAAACTGGGCGTCAGCAGCAACTTCTTGACATGAGGAACAAACACCTAGCCGGAATGCCTGATGGGAGGCTACTGTTACCAAAACACGCTTTCGTCTTATTCACAGCGCCGGCTGATGCACACAAGGCGCATTCTTCTGGCTGCACTGCTAATCTGTTTCTTGATGTGTAATATATGCTCAAAAACAGCATCTTTACCGAGAGAGCCCTCTGCAACTTTCCCATCTCGCGAAACGGGCTCCCTCCAGGTCCTGCTCCTTGGCCGCGGCCAGGTTCCCCTGAACGGACACCTGGGGCAAATCCAAGCCAGGGCTTTAGGCTTTTGGGCACAGGGTTGAGGAAAGTACGTAGTGTGTTGCTTCGGGCTTTCAGTAGGCCTGCAAATCACCATCATGGAACAGGGAACTTGACTGCATCACAGAAATCCCATCCTGCAGGCACCCCTCTTCCCCTGCTGACAGCTCACAACCCTGGCAGTGCAGCAGCCGCAACCCTGTCCGGGAGCCCAGCCCGCGTGCCATCCACGATGGCGATCGTGGCCAGTGCGACCAGTCGAGCCACCTTGTTTTCACGAGATTTTGATCACATCTGAAATCGTGTAGAGGCTCCAGGCCAGGCGTCAGGGTGTTGGATTATGACGTTGTTTTTCATCACTTCGTCCTGTAGTGGACACCTAAATCACGTCGTACTATATATATATATATATATATATATACATTGCTCCTGAAGCATCCACGTCCGGGGAACTACACCGGAAAACTCAGCCCGCGGCCAGCATCGCGCAGTTGAGGCTTGGAGTTGACAAACTTACACGGACTTGCAATTAGAGCCCAAAGCTGGCAAACAACGGATGCGCATGCGAACACTTCGCGGCCGCTGGGCATTCAAGGCTGAGGGTTGAGGAGTTTGCCAAAATATGGACCCTAATCTGGTTGATCCTTATTATAAGGATCCCAAAATAAGGTACCCCAAATTTCGGAAACTCCCCAAAAGGATCACTTTGCAGGGTCTCTGGGGCCCTTCGGTGATGCCGGCTAGCTGGCCCGGGTCAGGATCACTAGGGTTTAGGGCTCCAAACACTTAACTACTAAACTTTGCCCGAAAACCCTCTGAAATCGGGAAGATCTTATGGTATGGTGACCCTTGAGGAAGCCTTCATATGACCCTTACAGTATATGTATATTAAAGACATAGAGCCCTGAGAGGAAGCCTCGGCTTCGAAGGGGCCGGGGCTTTTTCTTGCCATACCGGAAAGCCTCCATGCCAGGGACGGCCTCTGGAAAGCGTGTGCCTGATGAGTCGGGGGTGGTGATGAGGGTTCAGGATTTAGGGCTGAGGGGTTTAGGGTTGAGATTTAACAGAGTTGTCGGTGTTGTCGGAAACCTTCAAGTATCTACGGTTCGGGTTGAATGTTCTAAGACTGTGTTGCAGGGGGGCTAATCCGGGCAGAGCACACCCACCCACCCACCCACCCACCCCACCCAGCGATTGGGGTTTAGGGCAAGTTTCGGGTCTAGGGCGAGCTTTTAAGCGCTGCAGGGGCTTGGGAAGCCAATAAGCTAGGGCTTCTTCAAGGGTGTATTGCCATGGTTCTATAGGGATTCATGGGGGTTTTGGGCTGGCTTTAGGGCCTTAGGAGTTTTATGGGGCATTGCGATTTTGGGGCTTGGGGCTTTTTGGGATTTATGGTTAAGGGTGGACGGCTTGAGTGCTTCATACACGGCCTTGAAGATGGGGATAGGGTTTTCAGGGACCAGAAACTGTAAGGCATAGCTTCAGGCTTCTACATACATACATACATACATACATACATACATGCATGCATACATACACACGTAAAGACCTATATGCCAACCTGCATACCTACGGTACAAACCCACATACCTACCTACCTACATATCTACATACCTACCTACCTGCATGCATATATACATGCATGCTTACCTACATCCACGCATACATCCATATGTTGATGTGTGTGTGTATATATGTATGTACACATATGCATACATACAAACATTCATGCGTACTATATACTTTAGGAGAGTTTAGGATTTACGCCTTGGGGTTTAGGGCTGGGAAACGACACCCGAGATTTGGCTCAAGGCACAGCAGCAAGTCTAGACGTCCCCCTCAACAGCAGCGGTTAGGGTTTAGGGCTCAGGGTTTAGGGTTTGGGGTTTAGGGTTTAGGGCTTAGGGTTGGGGTTCACACTGAGCTCAAGGTCTCCCAATAATCATCAGTCGGCTTAGACCTTGAAAATGGCCCAGCTACTTAAATATTGAGTCACTAGCACATGTGGTAAAACGGTTCATATCGAGTTTTAACTTACTATCAAGGTAAGTGTTCCGGCTGACGAAGAATCAGTTGGCGAGTTCCCTGGTTCGAAGCAGGCCATAACCTTTCGGGTACTAGTGGAACTATACAAGATCGGCTCAAGCTTGCCTCCATGAGCACAGCAACCCTCGGCGGCGGTCAACCAGGTCTTGCTGTTTTTGGCCGCACGCCAGGAATGGTCTTCACGTGGTCTTAGGGTTGATGATATAAATCCTGCATTCCCCATAATACAGAATATACGCATAATTACCATAGTTTAGGGTCCTTAAAGTACTGCAGGATTTTTATATCATCGACAGTAGGGCTGCTATACCGATGCTTGCTCAGCTTCTGAAACTCCAGTCCCCCTTTTGGGGCTTTTGGACCCGGGATGGCGCCTTACAGCCTCGGGAATTCCCAGGAGGCTCCGCGCTGTGAGATCACCCTCATCCCTCAAACCCCTGGAAACCCTCCAGTCCGTAAACCTCTAAATCCCGGTCATAACCAAAGTAGCCCATGAGCTCCTCAACCCAAACCCTGAACCCTACTTGGAAGTTCATGGGTAGTTATAAGTGGGGTTATAAGTCCCTTAATATGGGTTATAGTATTAGTAACCCTACTTATAACCCCACTTATAGCTACCCCTGAACCTCCAAGTAGGCCCTAAACCCTATACCCTTGTAGAAGCCCTATAGATCCCTTTAAAGGGGCCCCTAATCTGTGAAAGGTGTTCACTCTCACCCGGATCCTCGAAGCTTCAGACCCTAGCTGAGCAAGATCTTCAACGGAAACCAGAAGTCTGGGACGTAGACCTTGTGTCTCCTTTAAAGGGTTCCTTAAAGGGTTCCTTAAAGGGATCTATAAGGGTTCTATAAAGGGCCTAGGGCAGAAGTCTGGGACGTTTTCCTGTTGTCTCCAATGTTACTATGAGGGTTCTATAAGGGTTCCTTTAAAGGGCTACTATGAGGGTGCTCTTTTGTCTCCAATGTAGTTCCTGTTGTCGCTAACCAATTTTATGGCCAGGATACTGTGACAAAATTGGTTAGCCTAGCAAAGCTAATTACAGGTAAAGGAGACTATAGGTAACAAAAACATGGGCAAAAAGCGGTCGCGATTGCACACTGCTTTAGCTGCGAAAAGAAGCCCGTTAAGCAAAATGAAAAGCTACTCGCTCTGAACACTCCTTTAAGTTCTATCACGTTCTATCGGACTTGCAAGATCACCCAGGCCAAAGGCGGTCGGGCTTTTAAGCTAAACGGATGCCAGCAATCGCTTGCGTTAAAGACAAGACCCAGAGAGCCCAATACCTCTTTGTTAAGGAGCATGTGCAAAACTATCGAAGGCTCCTCCTCATGAACTAGGGGTATCTACCTCAACTGAGGAGTATTGCGCTGTCTGGGGCGTATAGGCTTCTCTGCCACATCCTTTGGACGGACTTAAGCAGCAAATGGCGTAACTGTTGTACCGTGCCCAACACGCCGGCCCCCGTTACATTCATAGACTTCATACATCATACTAAACTACATGATTGGTGAAGAAGCTGCTCCCAGCGCATGTTTTCCAAAGAGCCCCTTCACTGCCCAGCTGTTCTCTCCACCCTGCCTGTCGTCATGCTTTTCCTGAGGCTGCTCATGAGAGGCAAATATAACACAGAAGCCGTAACTTAGGCTCTTTCTCAAACAGTCTCAACTCAAACATGCTACAGCCGCTGAACACCAACAAGGTTCGTGGAGAGCGAAGTTGACCATTACTGGCCAGAAGAGCTGCCTGGTGACCACGCGGAAGGCATCCGTGCAGAACTCCTTCTGGAAGGGGCGGCCGTGCCTGGGTTCTTGAGGAACTCAGTTTGATTCGAGTTGCCGTTCTAGGCATGATGTATAGCATATGATTTCCTCGTTGATTCCCTTATGAATACGTTGAGGGACAGCTTCGTTACAATCTTCAAGAATGACTCACATTAAGCTCCTTTAAAAGGACCCGGCTGCGGCAGACCGATCTCCTCTGTCCGGTGTAAGGCCTGTGCTCGGACCTTCCACGTCGACTCGTAGACAATATATTCCTGGTGTAGGGTTTGTCATAAGGTTTGAGGAGGTCCAGGTTTTAGGATTTGTAGGCAGGCCCCTGAAGTAGCTATGAATAGATACTTATCTCGGTAAGACCATGGTGTACATGAGACAGCATCCCAAAGTGCCGGCTGGATTCAGTCTCCAAGCCTGGATACGACATGGACGTCCTAGTCTCGGCATAGCATGCTTTCGCGATCGGCACTATGAGCTCCTCTTCGAATAAATACATCGAGATGCCCAGCTCTTGCATCAGCTTCTTCGTAGCTTCCTCCTCCGTCTCGCGCTTGCGCATGTGTCGGTATGGGAGCTTCCCTAACTTTTGATCCCGTGCCTTCAGCCAAGCGTCTGAATTGAGCTCCACCAATGCACGTACGTTGTCGTCGATGACGGCCAGCAAGCGAAGCCTCACTAACCTCACCCGCCGCAGCATCCCTCCCCGGACATTCATGACCAGAAGATCACTCTGGCAGGTGTTCAGCTCTTCCACCAAGTCCTCCATATCCTTGGAGCTCTCTCCGGTAGAAGCAGCGAGGCCATTGCGGTTGCAGGCAGCAAAGAGCTCTTGGACCCTTGCCATCGTGTAAGGCTCCTCGTCTCGATCCGTCCATGCCGAGGGCGCCAGCGCAATTGCTTGGCTGTTCTTGGCACGGGCGGTTCGTGCCTCTCTGGGTAGCACATCGACATCTGTGACACTGGTGCTCCCACTGCCCTGGATCAGTGCCCAAAAGGCCTTCTTGTGCTTCAGGGCTGCAGCCAGCTGTGCTGCCGTCCTGCCATCTTGATCCCGGACCTGGGCTGCGTCGGCTGCGTCTTGGCTAAGGTCCTCCATGAGATGCTCCACGCAAGCCGCGGCGTTCACCTTTGCGCAGTGGTGAAGGACACCCTCACCGAAGAGCAGCGGCATCTCCGGAGAAATGCCGTTCTGGTCCAGGCAGTGGAGCATGGCCTTGGGACAATCTTGGTCGATTGCCTCATAGATCACAAGTATGTCAAAGAGCTCGGGCATCGCTTCGCTCATCAAGGACTCGAACTTTGACACGTCGATGGAGATGAGCTCGCAAAAGGAGATGCAGGTTACCGTCTTGAAGCTTCGGCTGGCCCCCAAGAAGAGCCGAAACTCTCCAATAAATGCCCCACCCTGCAGCCTCGCATCCGGACTTGTTGCGTCAGCCGCCTCGATCTCCTTCTGGATCTCATCGCTCTCCTGCGCAATTTAGGCTCCGATTCAGAAGTGTCAGGGGCACATCTACAAGTACCCTGAACTAAGTACACCAGCGTCCTCGGTATCATCGGTGGATGTGGCTGCCCAGGCCTGCCCCCCCACTCGGTTGCGGGTTTGCACCAAGCCACTTCGGATGTAAAAACAGCTCTTCACCATAGCACCTTCGGCAATGAGCTCTTGCTGAGGAGGGTGAAACTCTGTGTCACAGAGGTCACAAACGTTTGCCAGGACTTCAGGAGGAAGCAGCTTCAGCCAGCGGTGCTGGACCAGGCAAGTTCCTGTTAAAGCCAAGTTCACTTTCGTCCGAAGGACTTCCGACTTCTTCAGCCAACCCATAAGCATGGACTTGGTCTCTTCGCGCTCTCGATTCTCAAAGACTTGCAGTAAGTAATCATGAACCCGTGACTGCAGCTCCCTGGGAACTCTGTAGACCTTCAAGAACTTCGAGACCTGTGCCAGCTGTTCCATGTTCGCTGCTGTTCTTTCGCTGAGCTTGGACACGATCGTCGCGACTCCATTCACTGCGACACCTACGACCAAGCTGGTGGTAGCCATGACGACGCACAGCAGGGCTCTCTCGTTGGAGAGGCTCATGTTGATGTCTCCCAACCCGACAGTAGACATCACCGTGATCGCAAAGTACATGGCCGTGTTGTAGCGCTTCCCTGAAGGGACCAAGGTCTAATTCTCCGAGCCCCTCCTACATCGGATGACGGACACTGCGCATGCGCCTGGAAAAAGCAGTACTTCACAACCCGCAGCTCTATCTAGCCTTCGTCCCTAAGCCCCTGAGCAGCACGATCTCCCTGAAACCCGCTGGCCTAAAGGAACGGCTTGCAGCGCCCCGGGTTCCTTGAGATTCGAGGCTAGGGCTTTAGGGTTTCAGAGATTTCGGGTAATGTAGGACCCTGATTAAGAAACTTTGGGCCTTCATTAGGGGGTTCCTTATATGAATCCTATTATATTGGGGGTTATAGGGCCAGGGTTTCTTAATCAGGTTACTATATTCTGAAGGTTTAAGGTTGACTGCTTTGTCAAGGCTTGGCCAAGGTTTTTGTAGGCTGTGAAGGCGAATGCCCGTCGACGGAGTTGGGCTTAGGGCTTATGTCATTGCTTAGGGTGTACACAGGATGCCCTCTGCGCCAAAAGGAGCCCTTTAAAAGAACCCTTTCATATAAAAAGTCCTATAAAGGAGCCCTCAATGCCTTAACGGAACCCTTAAAGGAGCCCTTAAAGGAACCCTTAAAGGAGCCCTTAAAGGAGCCCCTGAAAGGACTGCACCGAGGCGCATTGGAGATGTCCAGGCCCAGTTTGATCCAGGAAGAAGTCTCCGCATCGGCTTCCAAATTGCTGTGGCCCAGGGACCATAAGGCACCTCCACTACTTCAAGGACCATGGGAAATAGGGACCATAAGGCACCTCCACTACTTCAAGGAATAGTAAGTAGGTTATAATTGGGGTTAGAAGTTCCCTAAGTGGGGCTATCCCTAACCTGCTTATCCCCTTGTTTACTAAGTCCCATGAGCCTTGACGCTGTAAGGGCTACTTTAGGGGTTCCTTTTAAAATCTCCAAACCCCGAAAATGCGGGTGCTTGGGCTTCCGGTCGCGGATTCTCGGGTTTCAATGATTAGGGCTTTTGGTGTTGACCTGCGGCTGTGTAGAGGTGTCTGTACAGCTGCCCCCACTGCAATTTAGACAAGGGATCTTTGAGATCATCAGAAAGGAGTTCGGGTGTGTGGGGGTTAATGGAGCTTTGGGCTGTAGGCCAGCCAGGGGGTCAGGGTTGGCATGGGTCATGGGTGTCTTCTGCAGTGGTTCCGTGACATGAGATGCAGCTGCCCCTGGACCCCAAAATTCTAGACACTTCAGCAGCTTTCTCTTCTATCTCTCCTGCTGCTTCACAGAATGCCGACAGCTTAGGGGTTCAGAGGAGCGCTGGAAGGCAGTGGGAGACAAGCACGGGCCTGGTCTACAGTAGGGTTCCCTAGGGTTTAGGGTCCAAGGAGTAGGGACCTGAATTATGAGAGCGGTTTCAGGTTCACTGTGGTGAAAAGTAGTCAACCAGGACGAAGAAAAGGAGATCTTATTACTTTTTCTTCGGACCTCAATATCATGCTTTCCACCTCATGACCGCTCTGCTGGAAGGCCTTTTCCCTTCTTATCCCAGCCGCGCGTACATCTGCTCCTACATAAATCCGGATTGGCTAAAGTAGTCGGCCTATCGGTGTAGTGGCGTAACTGCCAACAACCAAGTCTCATTGTTCAGGCCCCTATGCAACCGATGCCAGGAACTTACAGAAAGTCTCTGAAGCCCTGGCAAATCCTGCAAACCCCGAAGAGGTTGCAAGGCACAAGCAGAGAGGTGCGAGAAGACGAGCGGAAGCATGAATAGCTGGAAGAGCCACCATGCAGAAGACACCACCGAGGACTTCCTGAAGAGAAAAGCATGTCTGGGGTATTGTCGTTGTGTTCCTTAAAGGAGAAATTAAAAATGAATGTATAATTTATATGAGGTCCTTTGGTTGGCCCTTTAAAACACAAGTCTTGTCCTCATTTTTGGGGAGACTTCGCTTTCTTCGGCCCCCAAGGCTCGGTAAACTAAAAGGAGGGACCCTTAATAGGGACCCAGCTACCCTATAATGGGCTATGTAATGCGTATATAATGGCTATGTTAAGGGTATCTGATCAAAGCCGCAAGAAGTGGAATCGGGGTCACTTGAGATTTGGGTACCGTATTCAGAGGCCCTTTATAGAAGGCACTTGCAGTAGTTGTGGTACGCCGATAAACAAGAGAGCCTTATCCGGAGGTCCACAACATGCGGTGCCGTTTAACTTAAATAACTCAACATAAAAACCTCTAAGACCTTCAACAGACCTTTCCAAAGACTCCAAAACCTTGACAGACCCATAAACGTAGCAATGCCTCGCAAAGTGAAAAGACGTTCCCTAAACCCGAAACCCTCAGCTCTAACCCGAACCCTAGAACCCTAAACTACCTGTGAAGCCATGATGCCGGGGCCCCGAGACCTAATGTCGAGCCAACTTTTGGAGACGCCTAAAAACAAACGCAAGGGTGTTTAGGTTTCCCGTTTCGGGGCAAGCCCAGAAACCCCTAGAGGTTAACCCTGAATGCGGGCCCGGAGGGATTGTAAGTGTTTAGGTGTTTAGAGTGTAAGTTGAGGGTTTACTCTTGCTGCTGCGCCTGTTGCTCTCTAGCTTAGGCAACCCAGTAAGTGCTACCAGCACGGTTTAGAAGTCGCCGTAAGGCTCTAAGGCTCCTCATCTTTCGTGTTGGGCTTTACCATTCAGCCGTATGCGGGAGACTCCAAGACAACACCCATAAACCGTGTATTAGCATCCATGTGGACCCAGCGAGAGACCTATTGGAACACCTGAACCTTACTCCTAACCCTGATCTTGCCCAAGTCTGAGCCTCGTTTCCATTGCTGATGACAATGCGAGTTAAGGTCCAGGATTTCAGGCCGTAGACTGCAGGACTTACTCGAAGTTTACGGTTTCGGGTTTGGGGCATGAGGGGTGCAAGACTTAGGGTATAGACGGAAGAATATAACCCTGATTTCGCTTCTAAACTTTGGCTCAACCTAGGCCCCCAGAAGTAGGTTCAAGAATGGCTGATTCCAATGGCCCAGCACCTATTTAGGACCTATTTTTCTTTCGTAGTCCAGGCAAGGCTCATGTTGGCTTCCAGCCGCTTGAGTAAGGCATAGGCCCCCCGGACACGGAAGCTGCGCAGCAGAGGAGATAAGCCCATCATCCTGGGGGGTGTCTTCAAGGCTCAGGGGTTCGGCTTTCTAATCCCAGGCTCATACGGGAGTTTCTGAAAATAGGGGACCCTAATATAGCACCTTAAGAAGCAGGACCCTTATTATAAGGAGCCTAAAGAGGGGCCACCCCTACTTTTCGGAAACTCCCTAAAAAAGGGTTTGAGGCTCATGGCCTAGGGCGCCAGGTTTCAGGGTCAAGGTGTTACGGTTCAGGGCTTTTTGTTGGGGGTTTTAGGGTTTAGGGTTTAAGGTTTAGGGTTTAGGGTTTAGGGGTTTAGGGTTTAGGGGTTTAGGGTTTAGGGGTTTAGGGGTTCAGGGCTTTTCAGTGCGCTTAGATTGTTGAGCTGGTGGGATCCTTGGAGCTTGACATGTGGGTGGTTGTCAAAATTAGGGTCCCTTCTTGGGAGGTCCCTATTCTAATACGGCACCAATTTTGATAACTATCCATGTTTAGGGTTTAGGGTACAATCTTCTTCGTCGAAGCTTCAGATCCTGGAAGGAGTCATGGAGACTGGAAGCTCATGATGCAGGCCCCTATGCTATAGAACCTATCCCTACTATAGATCCCTTATCGACCCCTTTAAGTGGAACATTATTCTACTACACATGGACCAAGAGGAATGTGGCGAAAGCACGGAAAACACGTCCAACAACGCAGAGGCCTTAATCATGAGAAAAGAGTTTTCGAGTAGCTCCGAATCCCAAAGTGGAAAACCTCCAAAATAGACTGGCCAGCCCAGTGGCAACAAGTCCAGAAATTTCTGGGAAAGCTTACACCCTCAAGTGCTGGATGTTTTGGAGATCGCTTCCCAGATGTTCCCATCGGGCGTTTGGTTCGAGCCGAAGTCTTTGTTATGGTATAATTACCTATACTCTTTCGGGGGTTCCTTCTTTTGACTCTAGTATAATACACGCCATGCTTGAACTCAGAACTGTTCGCCGGTGGTTCCACATCCGACTGGGACGGAGGGTGAATGCGTGCTGTTATGCACATATTTAATATGTATACATACATGTGGATGTATATGTATGTATGCATGCATGCATGCATATTTGTATGTATGTATGTATGTATGTATGTATGTATGTATGTATGTATGTATGTATGCAAGCATGTCTATGTATGGATGCATGCACGCGAGCAAGCCCTACCTGTAGCGACTTTTGGCATACACAAATGTGTGTATATCACTCTGTGTGTGTGCACGTACGCATGCATGTATGTGCAAGGATGTGCACTGCAAAGTATCTTCGCCGCTTTACTGGCTCACTTCTGCCCAAGGCACCTGAGCGGCCAGAAGCCGTAAGTATGCGGGTCGATGACCAGGAGCCTGAGATCTGGTCCCGAGTGAAAATGAGCTCTGTAACAACCCTACAAGCATCCTTTTTCTTGCAAGACTTCATGTCAACCCTTGAAACCCTGCAGCATACAGACAAGCTAAGACCCAACGTTCAGAGCTCAATCAAGCAATTTAACAATCCTTGAAAAGGCGTTACAGCGGCAAGACTTCAAGCTATACTCTTTCAGGAAATGCCAAAACGCTTGTTGTGCTAGACTTGAAGTGGAGTTCCCTCCATTCACTAGGGGGTGTGCAAAAGCTTTCAAACCACTTGCCTTTCGACACCAAAGTTTGAAAACTTATCAAATACAAGCACATAAACACAAACTTTGACAAACAATGCTAAGTTGGGACAACACCTGATAGAACAACACCTTACAGACAAAGGCAAGTGCGCGGCTTGAAGATGCCAAAGTCAAGACGCAAACCCGCAACACACAGACTTTCGAACTATAAAGTCGCCCTTAAAAATCTCTTGAACGATGCTTTACAAGCTTTCGCAGTCTTTAAGGAACTTCAAAAGACTTTTGTAAGCCGAAAAGACGGCGAAGGATTTTGAAACGCTTGCTGAGTCCCAAAAACGACTTGAACATGCTTTAAACTTCTTCAGGGGGGGAACGGGGAGTCGGCCACCGCTTGCCCCTAAAGGTTGAATAAGTGAGACTTTTCCGGTCATCCGATGAGATTTAATGAAATTGTTCCGCTGTCCTGCCGCAGTTCTATAATCATGTCTTCTGAGCTGCAATAAGGCTCGACTTAATAGTAAGATGTTCCGGGTCATGCCACACTTGTAGTCATGTCTTCCAGGTTGCAAGAAAGATTGCTCGGCGGCGGCGCACAGCATGCTTAAACTGCAACCAAGATCTAATCAGGCCTAATGACATGTAAACAGGTTCAATAAGATTGTACCGGGCCCGGTTTGACAAACAAGTCTGCGCAGATGCATGTCTTTTAACCTAAGCAGCAATGAAGTTGTTAAAGCCCTGAGGTTTGAAAAGGCCCGCCGTGGTTCCAGGGGCTTTAGACTCTTCGGCCTTTGCATTTGAGACTAAGGAGTCTCGAGCTGTGATGGGATTGGGATTGGGGTACACCGGTTGGGGCTGTGAACCATTAGCAAGCGAATGATAGACTGCGGGTGGTCAAGACAACGAACTGACTGGCATACAGGCAAGCGGAGACACATAGAGACAATGGAGCGCACAAATTGACTAAATGGAGACGACAAAGAGAGGCACAGAAGACAAATTGAGACGAATGAGAAAAGAACTTGACAAGGGGTGATGAAACAATACTACTTTTTGGAGTTCCTCGTGATACTTAGAGTATGATGGGCCCCCAAACCCTTTTCTAACTGATTCAACAAGACTTGTCGCTTTTTCGAGCCAAAAGCCCGGGAGCCTCTTCGTTTGAGACCTGCGGAGAACCTTCATAAGACTTGAAGATCAGCTCGAAGCATTCTAATATTAGGGCCTTACTAGCTAGAATAGGGTTTTGGGGCCCATTGTACTCTAAGTATAATAAGGAACCCCCAAAATTGTATTGGTAGTTATTATAGGCCCTCGATTCGCAACTCTGATCATGGAGAGATGTAGGGTCCTAGAGTTACGGTCCTCAGAACTAGCCAAAAAGCCTTCTTCTGGAAATTCGTGCGGTTCAGTTCCTGCAAACCAGTGGCCTGGTAGAACTTAGAGTTCTGTTCCTCACAGTTTTAGGGGTTTGGCTTTTCGACCCTATACCCTTACATAACACTGGCAGCTGAGATCTTCGAATCACTATGAGAGAACGGTATTTGTGGTAAGACCCTCAAACTCTTCAAAACCCCCATTGTGGTACTCTCAGTTGCGTGTTACTTTAGAAACCCCACACCCTAAACTATAAACGATCCAAAACCCTAAACCTCAAGCCCGGGAGCACATGTTGGCAAAGCGAGGGCAGGGTGGCTAGCAGGTCCAAGACGAAGCCAGCCCTAATCAGGATTTATGATTTAGGATGGTTTAAATCTCAAGAGTTTTAGGGCTTTTGGGGATTATCGAGTTTGGGGGTTTGAGGTTTAAGGTCTCTGGCTGTCTTTCGAGTTGAAGGCTTTAGGGTTTAGAGTGGTTTCGCCTACTGTTTAAGGTTTAGGCTTTACGTAGGGCGCCTCAACAATCAGACTGGGGCTTTCGGTGTTCTGTACCGCAGGACGATTCAGGAATAGAATTGAGAAGTATTGCATCTGCATTCCGGCTTCGGGCTCTGGAGTCCACGTGAAACAAAGTTGTAAGAGTTTATCAGGGTTCTGTTCAACAGGATTTGATCAGGTTTTAAACGGGCTTGGGGTCGAGGTTTCTGCTTCTAGTGTCTCGGCACCTGTGTGCACTCGCCAGGACCCCAGTATAACCCTGAATTCACATCTCGCCGGGGTGCCGGAGGTAGCGCCTTACGTTGGAGCGGGCACTGCTGTGGAGCACATGCGTGACATCTCGGTAGCCGGTGGTAAAGTTGATCCCCAGATCGATGACCCAAAAGATGTCCACAGCAAGCAAGGCCAACTTCAGCTCCCAGTACCCTTCGGCTCGGTAGTCTTCAGTGGTAATGAAGCCTGCCTGGAAGCACAGGTACCTGGGGGGGCCGTTTTCCTACCGCGGAAAGGAACGTGTCAGTCGTCGTTACATGCAACAAGATGGAACATGTCAGTTAACTCTAAAAAAGAGCTCAAGACCCGCAAGCCCAAACCTTTTCAACCCCTAACCCTGGACCCGAAATCTTATAACGTATGCCCGCAAACTCGCAACCTCTAATCCGAAACATTCCGAAACTCCATACATCCTGCAGAAGAGCCGAGATACAGAAGCTGCAACAAGAGCAACGTGCAGGCGAAGATTTCCCAGTACTGTCTCGGCCGACCCCCCGGATCCGCGAAGGGCCAGGACCACTGAGAGAATGGGAACCGTTTGTGCCTTGAGATCTTGTTAAACTGTTAAGAGATGATATTTTGCTTTCGCCCGGTTATGATGACTCAACTTAAGAACCCTTACAAACTCTGCTAAGAACCTTTATGACTTAAACTCATAACACCCTAAACCTTACCGAACCCTACCCGAAATATCCTGGACCCTCAAGCTCCTCAACGCCCTAAGCCCCAAAACCTATAGGGGCCTTAATAATTAGGATAGGGTTTTGGGGCCCATTAGACCATTTGTACCATAAATCTAATAAGGATGCCCCCTCCCCCCCCCCCCCCCCCCCCCCGCCGCCCCCAATTTTTAGGCCGCTATATGACTACCTCCCTCTGCAGGCATACCCCAGACACTCACCCAAGGGGCTGGAAACGCTGCTGTGCATCGGCACTTTCAGGCAAGTCAGGGCATGTCACAAAAGACGTCCCTGTACTCCTTCAGCCCTTCTGCACCTTAACCAAACCACCCGTTGTTGCGGTCTACTTTGCGCTGGATACTGTTTTTAGCTTCAAGTTCTTTATGTGCCCAGATGCCGGACTTGTACGACATCCGCCTCCTTGAGGACGACTTCAACACGTCGTCCGGGCCTTCCCTTCATCTCCACATCCTGAGCGGTTTAGTGTTTAGGGGTTTAGGGTTTAGGGGTTTAGAGTTTAGGGTTTAGGGCTTAGGGTTTAGGGTTTAGGTACTCTTTGAGCCTCCTTTAGCCAGGCGTTCTGTACAAGGGGTTTCTGGAGAGTGTAGCACATCCACGCACATGGGGGTGAGTCAATTACAGCCACTACGGTTCACGTCTATTGCTGGCCAATCAAAAACAGGAATGCTGTCAATATGAAAGGCCCTGCATGTGCTATTTTCTTTGATTGAGAAAGGGTTTTGGGGCGTATTCTACGGACACACTACGGTGTATTTGCCGCGGCGAGCCCGATCGATTGCGAATGGATTGAATAATCTTACATGGACCTATTCTTGACCTTGTTCTGGATCCCACAAGCTAGGGAACTCGCGGTTCCAATGTGCGTCAATATTCGGGGAAGGAAAGACTTTCGCGCTGGTGCTGGAGCCGCTGGTACTTGGGGGACAGCGATTCCGCTGTGCCTTCAATGATTCTGAATCCCGCCAGTAGAGGAAAAGCTTTCGCGGCGAGGTTCTGATGCACACCCTAAACCCTAAACCCACGTCCTTTGGACCGAAACCCCAAAGCCTAAAAAGCGTTTTGGTAGCCATCTTCCCGTTCTCCCGGTGGGTCTCCTCCCCATTTTTTGAATTCCCATTATGCCCCTTATACTATAGGGTGGTTGTCCAAGTTAGGGTCCTTGTTTGGGTCCCTAATATAATACCCGTTCTGTATTTTGAGTCCGGCTGTATTTTTTAGGGGACCCAAAAAGGGACCTTAATTTTGACAACTACCCTTATAGTAATTCTTATAGACCCCTTTAAAAGGAACCCTTAAGGGAACCCTGTTTTCCTTGCTGGTCTCCCGGTGGTCTCTTGGTGGTATCCTGGTTGTCTCCTGGCAGTCTGGTGCTCTCTTTCTTCGTGGTCTCCTGGTGGCGTGTGGTCACTGGCTGGTGTCTTGCTCGTCTCGTAGTGGTCTCTTGGTCCCGGTCGTTGTCGTCGCTGGTCGCAGTGCTCGCCCACGGTGGTAACATGAAATATGACGCAAATGCTGAAAACACAAATGGTAACTAGTTGGTTACGCGCACCCCAGGACCCTGGTGCTAAACTGCTCGTTTCGGGTTTCGGGATTCGCGGCAGGTTGTTTTGGGAGTGGAGCGGGAGGGGGGGTGATAACGTCCGTTCCCATTGCGCCCATGCCGTAAAACATGAGCCCTCTGCACTACATAATGCAACAAGGATGTTTGACGTTTCTCGGACAAGATACGTGCTCACAATCTTTCTTGTGAACCTACCTAAACCACCGGCTTACAGCATCCTTGCCTATTTGCACAACATACTTCATGAGAATGTTGGATGTGTCTGGAACAGGACGTGCTGCCACGAGCATTCGGGACTATCGCAAACATATCAAAACACCAGTGTTTACGGAATTTGCTGCTTCCCACAACATATTGCGCCGGCATGTTTGTGCTGTCACAAGCGTTCATGTCTTCTGCGAAGATGCATTGAAAACATTAAAATTAAACAACGGCTTCTCAACACAAACCGATAGTGCCAAAGGATCTCCCGACACCCTGTTTTCTTCGATAACTTGTGTTGTTATGTTTTTTTCTGGGAAAAAGCACATTCACGCGCTTCGGGACCACCACGGTCCTGCGGCTCGCGTGACCTACTTGCGACCTGTGTTGTCCGATGCATGCAACTCGAGCCCGTTCAAATTTGACAGTGGTCGTGATTTGATCAGACTGGCATGCTTCTGGTTTGGTCGTTCACCTTCTTGGGGATCCCCGCTGATAGAATAAGTATACTAAACTAGAGACAATAAGGGAATACCATAATTAGTTGTTCCGGCCCCGCTATTGCTCTCAGGGCCCTTTTAGAGATTGTATGAAAGATGCACCGAATAAAGGACCAAACGCAAAAAATCTACCAACAGCTGTCCCAAAGTTCCACCTACCGTACCCTAAACCCTGAAAACCTCAACCCGAAACAGCTTTCTAAAGTGCCACCTATCGTACCGTATACCCTAAACCCTAAAAACCCGCACACAGCTTTCCAAAGTGCCACCCATCGTCCTGCTTCTTCAGGAGAAGCCCCCTCACTTTGCTAGCCTCGCGAGGAGGCGGATCCGGGGCACGCGCCTTGAAGGGGAGGATGAGATTTCCTCGGTGGCTCTAGGGGTTCCTACAGGGTACTGTAGGGGTTCCTAGGCTTCTGTAAGGGTACTATAGGTTCCCCATCTACCGGGCCCCCGAAGGGCCCTTTAATAGAGCCTTTGTGGTCCTTAGTAGTGGGTATTTGGGGTATAGTAGCGGGTAGTTGGGGGTCTAGGTAGAGCTTGGGGTTGTATAGGTCTGGGGTATAGGGCTTCTTGGGTTTAGGGTGTTTAGGGGTCGAGGGTTGGAGTTTAGGCTTTCCCAAGCGCCCCTAATAGTAAGGGTCATGACCGCTTTGCCCACATGATGCTGCCTGCAATACTCCTCAACATAAACATGCAACGGGTAATTACTTCTGAAGGGCCGAGTTTCGGAGAGTCTGCCTCCAGTTTTTCCGTGGCGTGCCATGCTCCTGCAACCGAGGCGTGTCCTGAAAATCTGGAAGGATCGACATACTCTGCTTCCGCAGTGTCCCAGGTTGGCCTGGTGCCATCGCCAAGCTGTCTACGCTCTCCTCCTCCTCCTCCTCTTCGTCCTTCTTGTCGGGTATCATGGGGAACTAAAGGTTAACCTTTCTTGGCTATATAGGGATTAGATATGGACTTTACTACCCAAAAAAGGTTAAAGGTCCCCTACTCTACTACTGGGTCGTCCTCTCGGGACCTTTCGCTCATATCAAGTCCGCTTCCGCTTCGATGCTCGATCCGCACGTATTCTTCGCTGACTTGCTCCAGAATAGGTGCTTCTTGGAGAGTGGGCTCCATGGGCACAGGACTTGGAGAGTGGGAGTGGGGGGCCGGCAATGGCTCTGCTGTCGTGTCTTCAGTCGACTTCAAACGTCCCCCAAGAATACTCTCCAACTTGGCCCTCGTGATCGATTCTGTCTTTGAATGTCGCACCGGTATGGACCGAGTCTGCTCCACGTCTAGGCTGTCGACATTCGACAAGGATCCTGTCCGTACCTTCGGCATCCCTTGTCCCTTCGGCTGCATGGCGAGGACGAGCTTGGCGGAATGAAGCATGGAGCTGCGGCGACGCAAGCTTGTGATGCTCTGGACATTTTCCATGCTGACTGCCTTGAGTTTGGACCCGGACCCCATTTTCTGTGTGCCTGAAGGCGAGGGAGGCGAACCCGAAGAAGAGATCTGGGTCCGCAACCCCTCCCTCAGCGTGGCCAGCTCTGGCGACAGGGCCTTGCGCAGCTCCGTCGGCAAAGCTTCGCGCAAGGCATCGCCAACGGCCTGAGCAGCAATGCCAGGGCCCCCAAAAGCATTCGGAGGTACTGTTGTGCGGCGCAATAACGGTTTATAAGGGGACATGAACAATTTTTCTACAGTGCCATCGAGCGGCCTGCTTCAGGACTTCCTGCAGCTCAGATGCCCAGGATGCAGAGGCCTCTTGGACGGCTCGACGTATGGAGAGCTCCTCTTCGGGACCCATGGCGCTGATGACCGCAAAAAGCAAGGGCTCAGGCGCCCCGGAGGATGTGGAACCAATGATGGTGGGAATTCAGCAAGAGCAACCAAGATAACAACTTGCCTGAATCCTAGAATCTAGACTCTAGACTGTGTGGCTAGGCTGGGCACACTGCACCGGCTTCGTTGTACTCTGACATTCAACTCCTCTTAGATAAAGACCATCTCTTTCTACGATGTCTTGAGCACAGCACAAATCATGTCGCCGGAGGGTGGTCGAAGGCTTGCACACATGACCGTGATTGCCAAGCGACGAACCACAACATGAAATCACCCAAGGTTGCATAGCCTGCCTTGGATGATTCCTCTACCATGCAACAATGCGTGTCCGTTTTGGGCCTTATGGTTTTGGAGTACATGAGACCAAGAATATGGCATGCAAGACTAGGGAATAATTGCACTTACCGGTTTTCCAGGCTTCTTTATCCACACCATTCTATGCAAAAGCTGACATTGCAAAAGTTGAGCTTGAGGCGAGGCTTGTCTGCTGTGAATCCCAGGCCAAGCTCTGCACACCTTGGGGCAGAAAACCCGGCAAGACTATGGGTCCCACCAGGTAATAGAAAATAATAGGAGCCTAGTCATAAGGACGCATAACTGAACAATGGTATTCAAACTTGCCGCAAACCTTTCCAGACCCAGGAGCAGCTGGCACAGGCACAGCGAATCAGCAAGGCAGACAGTGAGGCTCTAGGCTAGTAACCCAACTGGGCATCACCGCCCGCGTTCTTCGCTCAACGCTGCAGCCTTTCGTTCAATTGCAGGTCTGTGAACCAAAAAACCCCGGTTTGAAGACTTCGAGGCTTTGATGCTCCAGGTCGGGTGTCCAGGATCATTGTGGGCTTCATGGCTTGGGGTGCTAATGGCGCCTAGGCCCTAAACCCTTTTTAATGCCACTTAACCAAAAAAAAGCAAAACCCTGGGGGCTTGCAGACCCTCCGTCGCCACGCTTGGAGATTTAGGGTTAAGGGTGCTTGAGGCTTGAAGGTTTACAAGGTCTAGGTAGAGGATCAGAATCATCAAACACAACGGTGGTTTCTCCGGGGTGGGAGGCATTGCGCAACAGTGTCTTCATACTGTGAATCAGAACATGGTTTGGGGTCGAATTCATATCGGGGCACGTAGGGACTACAAGGGGATGCTGCGGCGAATTATTCAAACCCGTAGAATAGTCGAGCCTTTGGTCTCAGTGCCTTCGTGGGCATTTTGGGTTTAGGGTACCCTAAACCCAAAAGGGATCATTCGGTACGATACCCTGACAGCTGCTGGCAAGCCCTGGCTCTGTGCATGAATGATTTTGACTTGAAGCTCTAGCCAGCCCTGGGTTCAAAGTGCAACCCACACCGGCTGTCGGAAATGCTACACGCTACGACCCTAGAAGCCGTGGATCTTATCAGTAGAGAGAATGAGCAAACAAGAACGCTCACCTCCAGCCCTGTCACGCAAACACAACGTATTGAAATGTACGACGAACCTATGTACTTGTGACACAGGAACAAGGAATGTACATACATACCATACAGGATCGTCGAACGTGCACGTGTCCGCGTGAATCCTATCAGTATCAATAGCCCAACGCTCAAGGGGTCACCGCAGGCAGAACAGCAGTTTTCCCAAAAACACGCTTTGGGGCAGGGTTTATGTATCAGAGCGGTGCATATTGTAGCTCATGGTGTGCCTTTGGCATGCTTGCGGCCGTCATAAATCTAACATTGCTACTAGCAGCCTCCATGACCAACCGGTCAAACGATAATCGTGTCACTCGTCGACGCCCCTAATCCCCAAACCCTGAACCCCCAACCCCAAAGAGACGTCGCCCTTATCTCTTGGCCTCGGAGTCGTCGGCTTTGCATCGGCGGGCCCATGGAACTGCACACCTGCAGCCTTCAAGTCGACTCCGACCAGTCCAGCTTTTGGCATATCATAGAATGTAACTTATTATTACATGATATGTCAGATTTGCATATAACATACCGTAAGGCAAATCTACGACATCTTATGAGCTAATGAACCCAGTGTGAGATACTGCAAAACGCAGCGTAATATGTTGGGTCCGTTGGGTTGCAATGCTCGCACTCAGATCTGCAAAACATGCGCACCAACTTCTCAACAGTACATCGGTCTGCCCCAGCAACTTCTGTTATCACATCGACTAAGCAACGTAGTGCTGTGGTATGGGAATGGCTGCCTTGTGATCTTTCATCATGTCATGCGCTGAATGGGCGCCGAACAGATAACAGCCTCATGACCACAGGCTGCACATCTAATGGTGGCCTCATGACGTAATAGCTGCATCACAGCTGCCAGTCCTTTCAACATGGTCCCCCATCCCAAGCTCTGTCGGGGATCCACGGAATGTGTTGTGGCGCGGAGTGCCCCTCTTGATCAGAGTGAGCTGACTGCAACTTACCGCACCGGGGTCAGTTGTGTTTTTTGTGTCTTGCGATCTGTCTTCTTGCCAGCCAATCTGGGTTCTCGTTCGGGAACGAAGGCCTAGCAAGGAAAACCTACTTTACTGAAGCTACCTGACCGACTCCGGCTATGTAGTGAATAATATGCTTGCCGCATTCTGGCGACTTAGATGAAGCTCTGAACAACACATCCCGTACAGAACCCGAACCGAACTGTAGGCTATAGTAATTCGAGCTCGTTTAAACCCACGAACAATCCATCTCATCGTCATACAATCGCATGCTAACTTTGCAACGAGAACCCAGCAATGCTCGTTGTCACCATCCAGTTTTGGATGCCACAAATCCTAAGCCCCATACCCTGAGGCAAATCCACGCAAAGGCCCCGAGCTTCGCTCTTGCACTGGCCTCTGCAGTTGACAATCAAACGGCATCGACGTCTCAAGGCCTTAGGGTCTGGGTTTTACTGCTTTGTTCTTCAGGTCTCACATGATTCGAGAAGCTGGACGCTCCTTTGCCTGGCGGCTAGTGCCACGTTCTCCGCATCATGGACTCCGTGGCATTCGACCTGATCTGAGGCGTAGCGTCTCCCTCGACGTAGACCATAAACTCTAAACCCTACGAAGCCTAAGAACTGGTATAAACCCAAGATGATACGAAGCCTAAGAACTAGTATAAACCCCAAATGATAAGAAGCCAAAGAACTGATACAAACGCCAAATAAGAAGCCTAAGGACTCATGTGAGCCCTAAACCCTCAAGCCCCATGCACTCGACCCGCCCGAAGCCTTCAGTGCAAGATCCTTTTGGCGCTTTTGGCCCTGCAATTCTCACTTAGCATTTACAACCTGCAGAACATGACTTGTCAAACTTCAGCGTAGATCCTCCTGGCACTCAAGTACGGCTCCAATCTAAACCTTCACGATCGGGCCTCACAGAAAGAGGCCGAATGAAACTGCGTTGCGGCATTGCTGGGCGCTAATCTACTAAACCCGCGAGGGAACCGCGTTTATTTGGTCTGCGTTTGCTGGGCCGGCCGTCCCACGGATACGAACACTCTGTGTCTCCTTCGCGACTCTCTTAGCACTCCTGGTGTTTCGCACGTTATATAAGCCCTCCATAGCTGAGCCATGCACGCGCTGGCCTCGAAACTGGGAAGTGGACCTATGCGCGGAAAATTTGTCTTGGAGGCTTCGCCCGAAGATGTGGCAGGGTCCGGGCCTTTACTCGGTCTTTTTGATACGGGTTCTGCAAGGGCTACTTCTAGGAATTCTAGGGTTCTACATTTTACGTCAAGGGTCTTAAATATTGCCGTAGTGAAGGTTTGTGGAGCAATTCCATAGCCGCTGGTCTCTGGAAATCTCTTTCTGCTGCTAGTCTGCTGCACTCCTCAGCAAAAGGGGCCTGGATACTTAGTAATACTATATTTTGCTGTCCATTTGCAACCACAACATTTCCACACTAGACCCTACATGGCAATCAGCCTGACACCAAACCCTAAACCCTGAACCCTAAACCCTACACCTTTTGGGTCTCAGCTTGCGACATGTCTCGCCCCCCTCAGAAAGACACTGCGGAATCATGGTAAAACCTGCGACCTCAAACAACCCTGAGACCCTTCAAATTTAGGGTTCAGGGCTTTGGGTTTAGGTTACAGGCTCATTTAATTTAGGGACCTGCTTTAGCCGTCAGGTCGGTGAGGCTGTCAAGGCAAAGGGCTTGTGCACAAACACAGAAGCCCTGAAACGTAAAGGGGCTTTGAGGGTACCTGGACCCCAAAAGTATGTAGAATAATAGCCTTTTATAGGTTTTGGGCCATTGTTCTACCTCGTTTTGGGGGCTCTAGGTAGGGTTAAGGGGTTGGGGGTTGAGGATCGAAATCTCTGAAAACGCTCAAGCCCTTCACTGCGGCGCATGACAAAGTAGAGAGCCCTCAACCAGGAATCTCCATAGCCCTTCCGAAGTCCTAAACCCAAGCCAGGGACAAGCGCTAATCTTGCGAGCGGCCGTTGGTGCTCCTGCCTCCGGCTAGCGACATGACAGTGGCAAAGTCTGTTACATGGGGGCTTCTAGTATGTGTTAGGGCTCCTCCTGAATGGAGCTTTGACAAGTATGGATTCCAATGTCTAGGTTGTTGTATGTTGATGTTTCCCATTGCCTGAAAAGCCAACGTTGCTATCCCGCGGCAGCAACGACTTTGTAAGCTTTGGCTTCCCTGTGCGCCCGGGCTCGATTTCGCTGTGTGCCTGTGCCGTCACCATCCAGGAACAAACTCCAGATATGTTGCTGATGTAGCGGCCCTGAATCATTGGAACACGGGCTTTGGAGTCTCTCTTTGACTATCATCTCTACTTGGCCGTAGCCCGGGAACCGGGAGCCCTCAAACTTGAAATTGCCAACCGCTTCGACCCGTGGAAAACGCGCCCAAAGATAATTCAATTAACGCCCCTATGTAAATGCATATGTACAGGTATATGTGTGTTCATATGTATGTATGTACGTATTCATGCATGCATGCATGTACAAACCCCACATGTTGTGCATTGTAGGGTCTG